GGTATCACATGAGGTAGGGCGGTGCTAGGAGCAGGGACGTCCCTATGGTTGGTGTCACCCGGTGCGATAACACTTGGTGACACCCCCTCCCACGATCCCCGCAGAATGGATCAGATCTGCGGATTGAGCATAATGGATCGGAGTCGGATCCATTATGCTCCCCAATCCGCAGATCCGATCCATCCTGCGGGGATCGTCAGCATGCAACCTATACGGGGTGACACCGGACCCGCTCCACGAAAAGGTAAGTTGTAAAGCAAACCGACGATCCCCGCAGGTTGGGTCGGATCTGCGGATTGGGGAGCATAATGGATCGGACTTACCTTTTTCGTGGAGTGGGTCCGGTGTCACCCGGTGCGGCGCCCCCCCCCCCCCCTTGCACCACTGGCTAGGAAGGCTGATTTGTGCTGGGGGGATTTGGGACGGGGGAGGCAAAGATTTGAGAGGGGATATCAGCAGGGGGGGGGTCGAATTTGTACTGGGGGAGGAAGGGGAATTTATGCTTAGGGGGTAAGCATGCAGAATTAGTGCTCAATTTTTGGTGGGGATTTTTGTTGGCACATAATGCTCACATATTTGTTTTGGGGGGGGACACCGTTTGGTTATGTTTTCCTGGGTTCTAGATGACCTTGTCCCAGCAGTGCGGCCAGGTAACAATTAACATTAGAGATACATTTGCATGTATTATGTTACTCTGTATCTGATTTAGGAAAAAATATTATTTTATTACCAGTTTAGAGAGGAACTTTACTCCCCAGGTTGGTTATTTTTTACCATTGTTTTATGTAACAATGTATCAAATCCAGACCTAAAGGAAAACTATATCCTCCCTGTATGTACCTACCTGACATGTCCTTGTGATAATTATTCCTAGTACAGTAATACGCCTTGTTGGGAAAGAAATAATGATCAGAATCACAGAATGATCTGTGTGGCTCATGACCTCTAACTAGTTGTCATTATTGTAGTGTGGGTTTGAAATAAATCTGAATATTTGAAACGGGAAACACTGATCATTTCCTCTTCTGTATTACTCCTATGCAATTTTTTAGTGCTTTTTTTGTTTTTTTTTAGATACCAATGATGGGGCACTATTCCTCCCACTGACACCAATGATGGGGCACTATTCCTCCCACTTAATACCAATGATGGGGCACTATTCCTCCCACTGACACCAATGATGGGGCACTATTCCTCCCACTGATACCAATGATGGGGCACTATTCCTTATGATGGGGCACCTCCCACTGACACCAATGATGGGGCACTATTCCTCCCACTGACACCAATGATGGGGCACTATTCCTCCCACTAATACCAATGATGGGGCACTATTCCTCCCACTGACACCAATGATGGGGCACTATTCCTCCCACTGACACCAATGATGGGGCACTATTCCTCCCACTGGCACCAATGATGGGCACTATTCCTCCCATTGACACCAATGATGGGGCACTATTCCTCCACTGACACCAATGATGGGGCACTATTCCTCCCATTGACACCAATGATGGGGCACTATTCCTCCCACTGACACCAATGATGGGGCACTATTGGGGCACTATTCCTCCCACTGATACCAATGATGGGGCACTATTCCTCCCATTGACACCAATGATGGGGCACTATTCCTCCCACTGATTCCAATGATGGGGCACTATTCTCCCACTGACACCAATGATGGGGCACTATTCCTCCCACTGACACCAATGATGGGGCACTATTCCTCCCATTGACACCAATGATGGGGCACTATTCCTCCCACTGGCACCAATGATGGGGCACTATTCCTCCCACTGGCACCAATGATGGGGCACTATTCCTCCCACTGACACCAATGATGGGGCACTATTCCTCCCACTGACACCAATGATGGGGCACTATTCCTCCCATTGATACTAATGATGGGGCACTATTTCTCCCACTGATACCAATGATGGGGCACTATTCCTCCCACTGACACCAATGATGGGGCACTATTCCTTCCACTGACACCAATGATGGGGCACTATTCCCCCACTGACACCAATGATGGGGCACTATTCCTTCCACTGACACCAATGATGGGGCACTATTTCTTCCACTGATACCAATGATGGGGGCACTATTCCTCCCACTGACACCAATGATGGGGGCACTCCCCCCACTGATACCAATGATGGAGCATTCCTCCCCCACTGATACCAATGATGGGGCAACTATTCATCCCACTGACACCAATGATGGGGCACTATTCCTCTCACTGATACCAATGATGGGGCACTATTCCTCTCACTGATACCAATGATGGGGAACTATTCCTCCCACTGACACCAATGATGGGGCACTATTCCTCCCACTGACACCAATGATGGGGTACTATTTCTCCCACTGACACCAATGATGGAGCACTATTCCTCCCACTGATACCAATGATGGGGCACTATTCCTCCCACTGACACCAATGATGGGGCACTATTTCCTCTCCCAGTGACACCAATGATGGGGCACTATTCCTCCCACTGATACCAATGATGGGGCACTATTCCTCCCACTGACACCAATGATGGGGCACTATTCCTCCCACTGACACCAATGATGGGGCACTATTCCTCCTCACTGACACCAATGATGGGGCACTATTTCCCCCACTGACACCAATGATGGGGCACTATTCCTCCCACTGATACCAATGATGGGGCACTATTGACACTATTCCTCCCCCAATGATGGGGCACTATTCCTCCCCACTGACACCAATGATGGGGCACTATTCCCCCCACTGATACCAATGATGGGGCACTATTCCCCCCACTGATACCAATGGTGGGGCACTATTCCCCCACTGACACCAATGGTGGGGCACTATTTCTGAAGGAAAGTAAACTGGCCCTTTGTTTAGAAAGTTTGGAGACCCCTGTTCTAGAACAATCAAGAAAATAAATATTACAAACATGCATGGGTGAATATACAATCACAATTCATTCTAAACATTTAAAACAAAGGTGCACTATTTTCTACCAATAGGAGAGGAGACTTTTTTCACACAGCAGACTGCAACATGCAGAGACGTGAACCAGGCTGTAGTGGCAGATCAGGATGTGACCCAAACTCTGGTTCACTCCGGTGCGACTTCAGGTGCAACATGTGATTTACACATCGCACCTAAAGTCATATAGAGTCCACTGTCTACTGTTTGCATTATCAGGGTGGGGGGGGGGGGCTGATGATCATATAGAGTTCACTGTCTATTGTTTGCATTATCGGGGGGGGGGGGGGCTGATGATCATATAGAGTTCACTGTCTACTGTTTGCATTATCGGGGGGGGGGGGGGCTGATGATCATATAGAGTTCACTGTCTACTGTTTGCATTATCCGGGGGGGGGGGGGGGGGGGGGGGGGGGCTGATGATCATATAGAGTTCACTGTCTACTGTTTGCATTATCGGGGGGGGGGGGGCTGATGATCATATAGAGTTCACTGTCTATTGTTTGCATTATCTGTGGTGGGGGGGGGGGGGGGCTGATGATCATATAGAGTTCACTGTTTATTGTTTGCATTATCGAGGGGGGGGGGGGGCTGATGATCATGTAGAGTTCACTGTTTATTGTTTGCATTATCAGGGGGGGGGGGGCTGATGATCATGTAGAGTTCACTGTCTATTGTTTGCATTTATCAGGGGGGGGACTGATGATCATGTAGAGCTCACCATTTATTGTTTGCATTATCGGGGGGGGGGGGCTGATGATCATGTAGACTTCACTGTCTATTGTTTGCATTATTAGGGTGGGGGGGGGGACTTATGATCATATAGAGTTCACCGTCTATTGTTTGCATTATCAGGGTGGGGGGGGGGGGGGGGTACTGATGATCATATAGAGTTCACCGTCTATTGTTTGCATTATCAGGGTGGGGGGGGGACTTATGATCATATAGAGTTCACCGTCTATTGTTTACATTATCAGGGTGGGGGGGGGGGGGGGGTACTGATGATCATATAGAGTTCACCGTCTATTGTTTGCATTATCAGGGTGGGGGGGGGGACTATGATCATATAGAGTTCACTGTCTATTGTTTGCATTATCAGGGTGGGGGGGGGGCACTATGATCATATAGAGTTCACTGTCTATTGTTTGCATTATCAGGGGGGGGTACTTATGATCATATAGAGTTCACTGTCTATTGTTTGCATTATCAGGGTGGGGGGGGGACCTATGATCATATAGAGTTCCCCGCCTTGTGTTTATACTATCATGGGGGCTGATGATATTACAGAGTCCCCTAGTCAATGCAATGTGTCAGTCATGTAGCAATGCTGGAGGTCATTCTGTGTCTGGAGATGTTGGTGATCTAACTTCAGTAGTAAAAGCTGGAGAGGTGATAGTGGACACATGGCTCTCATTCAGCAATGGCGAGCTGCTTCCCTTTGCCTGTGATGCCATCTAGGGGTCATCTTAAATATTGCTTTTCAAATTATGGGTCTATGTGGGAAGCAGCAAGCTCACCCTCCGCCTACCGACCTATTGCTCTCACCCTCCGCCTACCGACCTATTGCTCTCACCCTCCGCCTACCGACCTATTGCTCTCACCCTCCGCCGCCTGCCGACCTATTGCTCTCACCCTCCGCCTACCGACCTATTGCTCTCACCCTCTGCCCACCGACCTATTGCTCTCACCCTCCGCCTACCGACCTATTGCTCTCACCCTCCGCCCACCGACCTATTGCTGCCCACCCTCCGCCCACCGACCTATTGCTCTCACCCTCCGCCTACCGACCTATTGCTCTCACCCTCCGCCTACCGACCTATTGCTCTCACCCTCGCCTACCGACCTATTGCTCCCACCCTCCGCCCCACCGACCTATTGCTCTCACCCTCCGCCTACCGACCTATTGCTCTCACCCTCCGCCCACCGACCTATTGCTCTGGGGTTTAACACTTTTTTTTTTTTTTTTTTTTTAATACTTGTTTGCATTCCTTGATTCCACCCCCTGAAATTCTGTCCGTTTTTTTTAAAGCTGCACTCCAGGCGGAAGCACCCGGACATACCGGTAAAATACATATAAGGAAGCTGTTTTGTTTTTTTTATTTATATCCATCCAGTTCTGATCTTGACACAGCTCTGCCACAAAGTACAGCTCTGCCTAGCAGGACAGGAGACCTGATGTTTCTTTGCTGTAGTTAAGTAGGTCTTGTCCCTCCCCCACCCTGTGGCTGGACAGGGATGGAGAAGCAGAGGACTGATGAGTTAATCTCTCTGTCAATCTCCCAGTCTGAGCTCTGCTGCACAGGGACTGTAGAAGGCTGATAACAGGTCAGTTTGATTTAAATTAGACCGTCACCCAATAATATAACCTCTTTCTTTCTGACTCCTCCCCCGAAACTGGATGAAAATGTATTTTTTAAAACATTTTCAGCACCTGTGGGCAGGGTTGTGGATAAAGGGGTACCACCAGTCCTCCTGTACGGGGGTCAGGCCAGCAGGGGGGCCCAGGCAGCTGGGGTGAATCAGATGTGGGCAAGGAGGGTGCTTGGCACAGCAGGGAGGCAATTACTGGAACCAATCCCCTGTATGGGTCTCTCGGCAGCAGCTGAAAGCCGCTTCTTCTCCTCTCCCTCCTGCTGCAAAGAGAACCATACAAGGGATCGGTTCCAGTAATGGCTCCCCCATCCCACACCCATCACCCTCCCTGTGCGCCATATGTTTACCCCTGCTGCCCAGGCCCCCCTGTGTGCTCCCACCAGCAGCTGCAAGAACACAATAGGATCCTTCAGGATGGAGAGTAGGGGAAGGGGCCAGTAAATATGTCACATTTACCAGCCCCCTCCTTTCCTGAATGAACACAAGAAATGATCGGTAGTGATCACTCACTGTGTTCGTTCATAACTGAGTCACAGTAAACTGTGTTTATTTGGAGAGAGGCCTGTCACTCACTGTGTTCATTCATAACTGAGGTATAATAAACTGTGTTTATGTGGAGAGAGGCCCTGTCACTCACTGTGTTCATTCATAACTGAGGCATAGTAAACTGTGTTTATTTGGTGAGAGGCCCTGTCACTCACTGTGTTCATTTATAACTGAGGTATAGTAAACGGTTTTTATTTGGAGAGAGGCCCTGTCACTCACTGTGTTCATTCATAACTGAGGTATTGTAAACTTTTTATTTGGAGAGAGGCTCTGTCACTCACTGTGTTCATTCATAACTGAGGCATTGTAAACTGTTTATTTGGAGAGAGGCCCTGTCACTCACTGTGTTCATTCATAACTGAGGCATAGTAAACTGTTCATTTGGAGAGAGGCCATGTCAGGTTGGCTGTATGTGGCCCCGTGGTGGGATTTAACCAAAAAAATTATAACCGGTGCCGGGACAATGTCATCCTGCGCCCCCAAAGATGACAAACTGCACTGCTCCTTACCCATTCATGATGCGCAAGCTTAGGGGATCCTACGCCCAGTAGTCACTCGCTTGTCAAAATCACTACCGTTGTCACTACTCTCATGAGCCATGTAAAAGAAGGAACCCTAGAGTAAACTTTTGGGCCCAGGGCAGCTGCCCCTCCCGCTCTCCCCTTGTCCCGGTCCTGGCTTTAATGCCCACATGCCGCATATAGCAGGGCAGCAAAGGTTTGTGTGCCAAGAGAAAACTCACTATGCACTCCCAGCACAGTGGCTGAGCTGTCAAATGTGGCCCTAACTAATGAATGGGAGCGGGAAGGACCTCTTCATACAACCACTATGACAGCCAATCCTTGCATAAAGATTCTATTAAAGGGACACCAGGATTGGGTGCAAAGGGATTATATTTATTAAAAACAGATATAAAACATCAATCTAAAATGTCTTTCATTCTGTCATTGACCATAGAAAACACTTCTGTTATCTGAACTGAACATTGAGGGAGTTGAGCTTTCCCAAAAGAAGGTAATGGTATTCATATTATATAGTGTAGTGCTCCTCTAGTTAGCTAGGTTTTTCAGCTAGAGGCTGGATAGCAGCCTGGGATGAGTCAGCCAGGTTCACTTTAGGTCAGGGCTGCAGGTCAGTTCCATGATACCTCTCCCTCCTCTAGAAGCTTGAGAGGTTTATAGAAGGCAGTGGGTGGGGGTGAGTAGAGGCTGATCTGACACTTAGGGGATCTTGGGCAATCCCCAAGCAGGAGGCTTGGCATGGGGTCAGGGCAGCCTTTAAGTATGATTGAGCCTGCTCAACAGGGGAGTAGTGTTGAGTGGAAGATGGAGTGTGGAGCCTGGGAGGTGGCCAAGGAGAGGGGCCTATCTGCAGGCAGGAGCTGGAAGGCAGAGAAGGAGCCAGCCCAGCGTAAGGCCTGAAGGCAACCCCCAACCCATCAAGCTTGCAGGAGAGGACTGAGTGATTAATTTCACACCCCATAGGCCAGATAAGGGGAGAGGGTATTCAGTTTGAAACCTGACTAGCCCCCATCTGAGACTGCTGATTCTCAAGTGGCAGATTCTGGGTCCCCTTGCCCAAGGATTCCCTCAGACAGCTGGCTGAAGAGGAGAATTCATCTGGGGTCCAAGGTGGTACTCCTGGAGGGCTGAGGAGCTCTCCAAGAAGAAAATCTTTGCCTGTGGACTTGTACTTAGTTGCTAAGGAGTTGTCCTCAAGTTGCTGTTTCCTTGGGCATCCCATACACCCCTAAACCCTATCCAAGCTCAATACCCCTTAATCAAGCCAAGCTCAAGAACTCATTACTGTCTCCAGTGTGCAAGGTCTGAAGAAAATGCGTGCTGACTGGCTGTGCAGGACTATAGGGGGACCCAAAACTCAGCGACTCCTAAGGGGGTAGTGGTGCTACATTAGCTTGGTGGTCAACACATTGGGGTTGATTTTCTAAAACTGGAGAGTGCAAAATCTGGTGCAGCTCATCATAGAGACTAATCGGCTTCCAGGTTTTATTGTCAAAGCTTCATTGAAGAAGCTAGAAGCTGACTGGCTACCATGCACAGCTGCACCAGATTCTGCACTCTCCAGTTTTACCCCCCAGCCAGTTGTAGCAAATTTCCCCCATTGTTACTTGTTTGCTGCTGTTTAAAGGAAACTTGTACTGAGAGAGTATGAAAGCACTTATTTCTCTGAAAACGCCAGTTGCCTGACTGTCATGCCGATCCAATGGTGTCCAAGAATCCAATATCTTCAGTACTTAGTGTGTCAGTGACTTGGAATGAGTATGGTGGTCAGAAGTCCTGACTTCAGTTCCGGCACCTCAAGCACCAAATGTATCTAAAGGCAAAGGGTGCCGAGGTGTGCTGGAGGATCTATTGATGCTGGCTGCTTGGTGTCTATAATCGCAGGAGGGATCTATTTTTTGAGGGGCTAAATTTGCTGGGGAGGCCTATTGTTGCTGTTGGGGTATCTGATGTTGCTGTTGGGGTCAACTGTTGCTGGGCGGGATCTACTGTTGACGGAGGGGCCTATTGATGCTGGCTGCGGGGAGATCTGTTGCTGCTGCCGTAGGTCTGTTGCTGCTGTGGGGTATTTTGTTACAGGTGGTCCATTGTTGCTGGAAGGGGGGTACACTGTTGCTGGGGAACCGCTGTTGTTGGGGTCTATTGTTGTGGGTGGATCTATTGCTGCTGCCCACATAGAAGAAAATTATATTTGAGATATATTTTAAAAATATTCTTCCCTACAATTTTGGCCATATTCAATATATATATATATATGGAAATGCATTTTATTATAAAATATATGAAAAATATTTTTAAAAATACATTTTCAAATTTACTGTATGTCTTTTAAAAATACAAATCTACATTTTTGGAATGCATTTACAAATATATGTAAAATATATATATACTGCATGTTGAAATGTGTTTTTTAGATATTACAAAATATATGAAAAATATTTGTACAAATATAATAAATATTTTTTTTAAATATATTCTTCAGATTTTTTTAACATATGAAAAAGTAATTTTAACATATATTTTTGCATATATTTGTAAATACATTCCAAATATGGAGGTTTGTATTTTTAAAGACATACAGTATATTTGAAATATATTTTTAAAAATATGTTTCATATATTTTGTAATAAAAATGCATTTCAACATACAGTATATATATATATATATATATATATATATATATATATATATATATATATATATACTGTATTTATTGAAATATACTTTGAAATATATTGAATACAGCCAAAATTGTAGTATTTCAAATATATGTCAATATATTTGGGAAGAATATTTTTTAAATATATTTCAAATATATTTTTCTTCCATGTAGGAAGTAGCTGCTGGATTTACTCCAACCATTCAGATTTTTTTTAACATATAAAAAGTAATTTTAACATATATCTTTGTATATATTTGTAAATGCATTCCAAAAATGGAGATTTGTATTTTTAAAGACATACATGGTATTTGAAATGTATTTTTAAAAATATTTTTCATATACTTTGCAATAAAAGCATTTCAACATACAGTGTGTGTGTGTGCGTGTATATATAAATTACTGTATAGAAATATATTTTGAAATATATTGAATATGGCCAAAGTTGTAGTATTTCAAATATATCTCAATATATTTGGGAAGAATATTTTTAAAATATATTTAAAATATAGTTTTTTTTTCCATGTGGGTGGGGGGGGGGGGTCTATTTTACTGCTTTCCTTGTTATTGTTAACAAATTCCATACAAGTTACTTAATATATTCTCAGAGAGCGGTGGTACTGGTAGGTGGGTAGGGGGTGGAACCCAGAAACGGTGCTCAGAGGTGGGTAGGGGGTGGAAACCAGAAATGGTGCTCGGAGGTGGGAAGGGGATGGAACCCAGAAATGGTGCTCGGAGGTGGGTAGGGGATGGAACCCAGAAACGGTGCTCGGAGGTGGGTAGGGGATGGAACCCAGAAACGGTGCTCGGAGGTGGGTAGGGGGTGGAAACCTAAACGGTGCTCGGAGGTGGCTAGGGGATGGAACCCAGAAACGGTGCTCGGAGGTGGGTAGGGGATGGAACCCAGAAACGGTGCTCGGAGGTGGGTAGGGGGTGGAAACCAGAAACGGTGCTCGGAGGTGGGTAGGGGATGGAACCCAGAAACGGTGCTCGGAGGTGGGTAGGGGATGGAACCCAGAAACGGTGCTCGGAGGTGGGTAGGGAGTGGAACCCAGAAACGGTGCTCGGAGGTGGGTAGGGGGCGGAACCCAGAAACGGTGCTCGGAGGTGGGTAGGGGGCGGAACCCAGAAACGGTGCTCGGAGGTTGGTAGGGGGCAGAACCCATAAACGGTGCTTGGAAGTTGGTAGGGGGCAGAACCCATAAATGGTGCTCGGAGGTTGGGTAGGGGGCGGAACCCAGAAACAGTGCTCGGAGGTGGGTAGGGGGCGGAAAGCAGAAACGGTGCTCAAAGGTGGGTAAGGAGTGGAACTCAGAAACGGTTCTCGGAGGTGGGTAGGGGGTGGAACCCATAAACGGTGCTCGGAGGTGGGTAGGTGGTGGAACCCAGAAACGGTGCTTGGAAGTGGAACCCAGAAACGGTGCTCGGAGGTGGGTAGGGGGCGGAAAGCAGAAACGGTGCTCGAAGGTGGGTAAGGAGTGGAACTCAGAAACGGTTCTCGGAGGTGGGTAGGGGGTGGAACCCATAAACGGTGCTCGGAGGTGGGTAGGTGGTGGAACCCAGAAACGGTGCTTGGAAGTGGAACCCAGAAACGGTGCTCAGAGGTGGGTAGGGGTGGAACCCAGAAACGGTGCTCAGAGGTGGGTAGGGGGTGGAACCCAGAAACGGTGCTCAGAGGTGGGTAGGGGGGCGGAACCCAGAAACGGAGCTTGGAGGTGGGTAGTGGGACAAGGGGTGCCTGGAAAGAGGGAGATCCTGCACTGATTATCTGGGAAAAAAAGCCCGGTATAAGATAAGACTTACCTCCAGGCAACTAATATTTTTGTACTGTCTATATGGCGCTGGTTTCCTCCTGTTCTGTGCGGATGCTCAGATTGAATTTTTTGTCCTTTTTTTTTCTCTTTTTCAGCACCCATACCCAACAGAGGACGAGAAGCGGCAGATCGCTGCGCAGACCAACCTCACCTTACTGCAAGTCAACAATTGGTGAGTGCCCCAGGGTGAGGACTGCACCTCCATCACTGAAGGCTTCATGGACCATACATTATCTGAGGGGTCTACAGACAAAACCTCATCAGCGTGTGTTATTGCTACCAATAAATGCCCTGCAACTTTGCGGTCACATGACAGGGGACTAAAACTTTGGGCTTCCTATTTATTAGAATTGTAACAAAGTCATGTTTTTGCTGCATTTCACACTCTTGCGTCTTCAGGTGCTGAAGTCGCATCTAATGTCTTGCTATGGCGCTGTCTTCATAGGTGCGATTTCAAGTAGCGCAGTTTGAAAAAAATAGTCCCTGCATTACTTTTTCAAAAATTCAGCGAGATTTTAGCGTTCAGTCACACCGAATCTGACTTCAGGCGCGAATTCGCACGATTTCAAATGCGGATATCAGTCCGACTTCAGGTGTGACTTGGAAGATATCCATGCGACTTCAAGCACAGAGGTCTATGCGAGTTGCACTTGAAGTGCATGAAGTACTTTCAATATCGGAGTCAGAATCGCACCGATCTGAACGCTTCCATTGCGGACAACAGGGTGCGACTTGGCATGCGATTTGACACTAGCAAATCACTTTAACCCGTGGTTCACATCTGTGCAGGTGGTGCAGCTGCGGATACGCACAAAATTCCGTGCAGCCGCACCACCCGCACAGAGGAATGCGGACCCGCGGGCGGGTGCCATTAATTCTAATGGCACACCGCCCTCACTGGAAATCACAAGCGTACTGGGAACCGAGCGGGCTGCATTTTCAGAAGAAGTGCAGAGACTTCTTCCCTGCGTGTCCCGGGGCATGGGAATCCATTCAAATGAATGGGCTCTTGCACCCGCGCAAAATGCGGCCCGCAAGAACTCGGAGATATTATTATTATTATTATTATACAGTATTTATAAAGCGCTAATAGTTCGCTCAGCGCTGTACATTACAAAGGGGGACAGAACATGTGACAGAACAATACCAATACAATGCACAACATGAGGGGATCGAGGGCCCTGCTCCTTGGAGCTTACAATCTAGGAGATATGAACCTAGCCTTACTCTTCTAACCGCTTGCTGCCCGCTCACAGCGCATTTACTGTGGGCAGGCAGTGGCTACAGGCTAGGCAACATATTTCCAAGCTTTTTTTTAGCGCACGTGCAAGCTCCCCCTTCCCCTCGATAACCTGCACTGTGATTGGACACAGCACAAGTTTGTCAACAGGCAACAGGTTACAACAGGTTGTCAACAGGTTACAGCCTATCGTTTTGGCTCTATACCTGCTGATTGGCTGTTGCCCTTTCACGTCTGTCACATGTGCTCAGGGTGAACCTGCTCTCATCTGTGAAAAGCACAGGGCGCCAGTGGTGGACCTGCCAATTCTGGTGTTCAATGGCAAATGTCAATCCAGCTCTATGGTGCCGGGCAGTGAGCACAGGGCCCCCTAGAGGATGTCGGGCCCTCAGGCCGCCCTCATGAAGTCTGTTTCTGATTGTTTGGTCAGAAACATTCACACCAGTGGCCTGCTGGAGGTCATTTTGTAGGGCTCTGGCAGGGCTCATTCTGTTCCTCCTTGCACAAAGGAGCAGATGCCGGTCCTGCTGATGGGTTAAGGACCTTCTACAGCCCTGTCCACCTCTCCTAGAGGAACTGCCTGTCTCCTGGAATCTCCTCCATGCTCTTGAGACTGTGCTGGGAGACACAGCAAACCTTCTGGCAATGACACGTATTGATGTGCCATCCTGGGGGAGTTGGACTGCCTGTGCAGCCTCTGTAGGGTCCAGGTATGGCCTCATGCTACCAGTAGTGACACTGACCCTAGCCAAATGCAAAACTAGTGAAAAACAGTCAGAAAAGATGAATAGGGAAAAAAATATCAGTAGCCTCCACCTGTAAAACCATTCCTGTTTTGGGGGTTGTCTCATTGTTGCTCATCTAGTGCACCTGTTGTTAATTTTATTAACACCAAAGCAGCTGAAACTGATAAACAACCCCCTCTGCTACTTACCTGACCAGATCCATATCCTAGGAGTGTCATTGACTTGATGCTAGATTCAGATTACAAAGTGTTCCTTTAATTTTTTTTGAGCGGTGTAGCTCAGCCCAATATCTGCAGCTACAAGGACTGTTTTCAGATTCTTTTGAAGAAGACTGGTGTCCTCAAGTTACTTCTTAATATTGGTGGAGTATCCCACAGTCAGGACTGAGACAAGGGTTGGGCAGGAGGGGCGGCTGCCCTGGGCACAGCTGTTTACTGTATAAATGGGGGCGCCAGTGAGTTCATTCTGATACAAGGCATTTTGACAAGCGGATGACTGCTGGGAATAGGGCTTTGGATGACCTTGTCCCGGCACTGCCCATAGTTACCCTACACCCATCCAAGCACAAGTTCTGCAATAAAGCATCAAAATGCATACCCCTAGACTGATTACTGAGCCAAGAGGGTGACTGTGTGCCTGGCTGCTGGGGCATCTACTGGGTGAGAGCCTAGGGACCTAAACAGAGGGCCCTCAAGGGGGTGTGCGCTACACTACAAAAATATACAAAGTAGAATAAAGACTTTACGTATATTAGATCCAAACATACTGAGCAGCACAGTGGCTAAAGAGTTTGCATGTTCTCCCTGTGCCTGTGTGGGTTTCCTCCGGGTACTCCGGTTTCCTCCCACACTCCAAAGACATGCTGGTAGGTTAATTGGCTCCTGTCTAAATTGGCCTTAGTATGTGTATGTATGAATGGGAGTTATAGGGACCTTAGATTGTACACCCCTTGAGGGTTAGGGACTGATGTGAATGTACAATATATATGTAAAGCGCTGCGTAAATTGACGGCGCTATATAAGTACCTGAAAAAAAATATAAATAAAACTTTGTTCAGAAGACGTCGCAGCATGTGGCTCCTGCCATGCACTCTGATTTGTGGGACTTTGGCGCCCTCTGCTGGATCAGATAGCAATGAACATCTGATGTTCTACTTTGTCTTTCTCTTGTGCAATGCATTTTTTTTTTTTTTATTACAGGTACATTACTATTATTATTATTATTCAGGATTGATATCGCGCCAACAGTTTGCTCAGCGCTTTACAATATAACGGGAGACAATACAGCAACAATACAGTTCAATACAAGAGGGTTAGGAGGGCCTGATCCTGGGAGCTTACAATCTAGGAGGGAGGGGCTAGTGGTACAAAAGGTAATAACTGTGGGGGGATATGGACTGGTTGGAAGAGTAGAAGATTCCATTATTAGCTGAGGGCAGGATAGGCTTCCCTGAAGAGATAGGTTTTCAGAGTTCGCTTTAAAGTGAGTAGAGTAGGCGATAGTCTGATAAATGGGGGTAGAGAGTTCCAGAGGATGGGGGAAGCTCTGGAAAAGTCCTGGAAAACGAGCATGGGAGGAGGAGACAAGGGAGCTAGACATATATAGCGCTGTCAATTTACGCAGCGCTTTACATATATATTGTACATTCACATCAGTCCCTAATCCTCAAGGGGCGTACAATCTAAGGTCCCTAACCCTCAAGGGGCGTACAATCTAAGGCAGGGGCGCGTACAATCTAAGGTCCCTATACCCTCAAGGGGCGTACAATCTAAGGTCCCTAATCCTCAAGGGGTGTACAATCTAAGGTCCCTAACCCTCAAGGGGTGTACAATCTAAGGTCCCTAATCCTCAAGGGGTGTACAATCTAAGGTCCCTAACTCACATTCATACATACACAATACATGTGGTTTTCTTGTGCAAATTTCTAATTGAATTGTGCCATCCTGGTTCTATAATTAGAATATTTTACTCCATATATTTAGCATATTGGTATTTCATATTACAAAAAAAAAAAAAGAGTACAGACTGATGATATGGTTATCCACTGTAATACCCCTTCATTTCCAGCCTACTTTTCCATTTTTAAGCACTGTGATAGTTTGGATGACAATTCATCCATCATGTAACACCCAAATGAGTTGTTTATCATATTTTTTAGACCAGTAAAGCCTTTCTTGTGGTGGTATTTAAAAACCCACAATAAATACAAAATCGGTGCCCCCTTACATCAGTATCACCATCAGAGTGCCCCCTTACATCAGGTGTCCCCGTTAGAGTGCCCCTTACATCAGGGTCCCCATCAGAGTCCCCCCTTATATCAGGTTTCCCTATTAGCGTTCCCCTTAGATCAGGGTCCCTATCACAGTGCTCCTTTACGTCAGGTGTCCCCATCAGATTGCCCCATTATATCAGGTGTCCTCATCAGAGTGCCCCCTTATATCAGGTGTCCCCATCAGAGTGCCCCCTTACATCAGGTGTCCCCATTAGAGTGCCCCCTTACATTGGTGTCCCCATTAGAGTGCCCCCTTACATCGGTGTCCCCATCAGAGTGCCCCATTACATCAGGTGTCCCCATCAGAGTTCCCCCTTACATCAGTGTCCCCATTAGAGTGCCCCTTACATCAGACTCCCTATCACAGTGCTCTTTTACATCAGGGTCCCCATCAGAGTCCCCCCTTATATCAGGTTTCCCTATTAGCATTTCCCTTACATCAGGGTCCCTATAACAGTGCTCCTTTATGTCAGGTGTCCCCATCAGATTGCCCCCTTATAACAGGTGTCCCCATCAGAGTGCCCCCTTATATCAGGTGTCCCCATCAGAGTGCCCCCTTATATCAGGTGTCCCCATCAGGGTGCCCCCTTATATCAGGTGTCCCCATCAGAGTGCCCCCTTATATCAGGTGTCCCCAATAAGTTCCCCTTACATCAGGTTCCTTATCACAGTGCTCATTTACATCAGGGTCCCCATCAGAGTGCCCCCTTACATGGATGGTTCCTATTAGACTGTCTCCTTACATCAAATGTCTGCATCAGACTGGCTCATGGATCACTGGATGAACTGTCAGAGACCTGAGGGGGCACAGCTAAAATCTGGGTGGGCACAGCCCACCCCAGGACCCCCCTAGATCTGGGCCTGAGTAGGTAAACATGTTTGTTATTTTTGCTACACTCAGGCTGTTTACCATAGAAGACTGTACTGTCTTGCCTTTCACCTGTTACTGAAGAATCCCCTCATCCTGCAGAGTAGACATGACTGTTGTCCCCTTGGTGTGTTCTAGGTTCATCAATGCTCGGCGGCGTATCCTCCAGCCCATGTTGGATGCCAGTAATCCAGATCCAGCACCAAAAGCGAAGAAGATAAAATCTCAGCACCGGCCAACGCAGAGGTTCTGGCCCAACTCCATCGCAGCTGGAGTCCTACAGCAACAAGGAGGGTTACCTGGGACAAATTCTGATGGTGAGTGTGGAACATGGGGAGCACAGGGCTCGGGATACTGGTCTGTATTGCTGAAGAGGGCTAAACCACCAAAGCACCTTCCACACTGGGCCTCGAACATGACAAAAGGAACTGTTTTGTTGCTCTTAGCCACTGTGTTCTGTTTCGTGTTGCTGTTCCATTACGGGAGACTGGAAAGGTCTCTATAGAGAAGAATTTTATGCATGAATAGCAACTGTGTTGAATTCCTTTAGTCCTTCACCAACATAGAGTACGTGGGTGATGGAGATGTCTAGTCCTAGTCCACCACCGCCTTTATACAGTCGTTTTTGACAATGTGCACGATTGCCGACTAGTGTCTATGGTCCACTTAAACTCCATTAGCGGGGTTATGTCTGCCAGCCGTGCTCTTAGTTACAATTACGTTGTTTCGTCATTTTCATAGCAATGTCAGGGCGCAGTCAACAAAGCGCCGATGATTCTTCTTGTAGCAGCTGCAGTGGCTAGGTCCAATAGGGCCTCCATGGACGGGCTTTGGTCTTGTGTATATTGCATCAACCTGACACGCTTCTGAGATCATTCAGAATTCATTGAAGGGTGCATTTGACCTCCTGATCTGCTTCATGAGGGTTTTGTAACTCCATAAATGTCTATGGGACGAGTCAAAGAAAAAGCCAATTGACACAGGTCCTTATGGAGGCCAATTATTAGCTGTGCAACATTGGTGTCCCAATTGATATGAATGAGACTGCCTGCACGGGGATGAACGGTAGTCTGACTTGTAACTGTCAGTTTTGCAATGCCTCATGGGACTTGTAGTTCTACAACAGCTGGAGGGCCACAGTTGCCCACCCCTGCTGTAAGGTATTAACACACTCTTACGCTGGCCTTACATTATTTATTATTTACTACAGGTACTTATATAGCGCCATGAGTTTATGCAGTACGTATATATTGTACATTCACATCAGTCCCTAACCCTCAAGGGGGCTACAATCTAAGGTCCCTAACTCACATTCATACATACAGTGGGGCAAAAAAGTATTTAGTCAGCCACCAATTGTGCAAGTTCTCCCAATTAAAAAGATGAGAGAGGCCTGTAATTGGCATCATAGGTAGACCTCAACTATGAGAGACAAAATGAGAAAACAAATCCAGTCAATCACATTGGCTGATTTGGAAAGAATTTATTTGCAAATTATGGTGGAAAATAAGTATTTGGTCACCTACAAACAAGCAAGATTTCTGGCTCTCACAGACCTGTACCTTCTTCTTTAAGAGGCTCCTCTGTCCTGCACTCATTACCTGTATCAATGGCACCTGTTTGAACTTGTGATCAATATAAAAGACACCTGTCCACAACCTCAAACAGTCACACTCCAAACTCCACTATGGTGAAGACCAAAGAGCTGTCGAAGGACACCAGAAACAAAATTGTAGACCTGCACCAGGCTGGGAAGACTGAATCTGCAATAGGCAAGCAGCTTGGTGTGAACAAATCAACAATGGGAGCAATAATTAGAAAATGGAAGACATACAAGACCACTGATCATCTCCCTCGATCTGGGGCTCCACGCAAGATCTCACCCCGTGGGGTCAAAATGATCATAAGAACGGTGAGCAAAAATCCCAGGACCACACGGGGGAACTAGTGAATGACCTGCAGAAAACTGGGACCAATGTAACAAAGGCTACCATCAGTAACACACTACGCCGCCAGGGACTCAGATCCTGCAGTGCCAGACGTGTCCCCCTGCTTAAGCCAGTACATGTCCGGGCCCGTCTGAAGTTTGCTAGAGAGCATTTGGATGATCCAGAAGAGGATTGGGAGAATGTCATATGGTCAGATGAAACCAAAATAGAACTGTTTGGTAGAAACACAACTCGTCGTGTTTGGAGGAGAGAGAATGCTGAGTTGCAACCAAAGAACACCATACCTACTGTGAAGCATGGGGGTGGCAACATCATGCTTTGGGGCTGTTTCTCTGCAAAGGGACCAGGACAATTGATCCATGTACAGGACAGAATGAATGGGGCCATGTATTGTGAGATTTTGAGTGCAAACCTCCTTCCATCAGCAAGGGCATTGAAGATGAAACGTGGCTGGGTCTTCTAACATGACAATTATCCCAAACATACCGCCCGGGCAACGAAGGAGTGGCTTCGTAAGAAGCATTTCAAGGTCCTGGAGTGGCCTAGCCAGTCTCCAGATCTCAACCCCATAGAAAACCTTTGGAGGGAGTTGAAAGTCCCTGTTGCCCAGCGACAGCCCCAAAACATCACTGCTCTAGAGGAGATCTGCATGGAGGATGGGCCAACATACCAGCAACAGTGTGTGCCAACCTTGTGAAGACTTACAGGAAACGTCTGACCTCTGTCATTGCCAACAAAGGATATATAACAAAGTATTGAGATGAACTTTTCATATTGACCAAATACTTATTTTCCACCATAATTTGCAAATAAATTCTTTCCAGATCAGCCAATGTGATTGTCTGGATTTTTTTTTCTCATTTTGTCTCTCATAGTTGAGGTCTACCTATGATGCCAATTACAGGCCTCTCTCATCTTTTTAAGTGGGAGAACTTGCACAATTGGTGGCTGACTAAATACTTTTTTGCCCCACTGTACACATACTAGGGACAATTTAGATAGGAGCCAATTACCCTACCAGCATGTCTTTGCAGGGTTGGAGGAAACCCACACAGGCACAGGGAGAACATTCAAACTCCAGACAGGTAGTGCCAAGGGTGGGATTCAAACTAGCAACCCTAGTACTGCCAGGGGGAAGTGCTAACCATTTAGGCACTGTGCTGCCCATTATACAGATATTTTGTACAATCTTAGATTAAACCATAAATAATATGAGATCATACCTAAAAAGTTTTAATTTGTATGTCAGTCAGGCAGGCCCTTACACTACATAGTTGAAGGTAAATCTAAAGGAAATTGAACAAGAAAATTGTATAATGTATGGCCAGTTTTAGATGGTGTTGCCAGGCCAAACAGTCTGTCCTCCAGCTGGAACTGGCTTGGGGCTGAACACTGACTGCTGTGCTGAATTGAGCTGGGTTTCAGCGCTTCATTATGGGATCTGCCCTGCTGATACCACTGATCCTGGGGGGAGGGGGGGGGGAGACCAAAATCTGGAGGGACATAGCCCACCCCAGCATCCCCTTAGATCTGGTCTTGATGCACAGAACACTGGTGGTGATTCAATCCGTAATGCATGGATCACCCCAAGCTATCTTGTGCATAGCCATGTCCATTACATCCATGGTGGACAGCCGGAGGGGTTGCAAAACTGTTTTTATGGCCCCCCAACCTCCTGACCACCCTTCTGAGTTTAAATTTAAATATGTGAATTTAAATATGCCTTGGACAGATATATATATACTCAAAGAAAGTTAAAACGGGGCAGACTTGATGGACCAGTTGGTCTTTTTTCTGCTGCCACTCTTCCATATTTTGAAGCTCCCACTCTTCCATATTTTGAAGCTCCCAGTCTTCCATATTTTGAAGCTCCCACTCTTTCATATTTTGAAGCTCCCACTCTTTCATATTTTGAAGCTCCCACTCATCCATATTTTGAAGCTCCCTCTTTTCATATTTTGAAGCTCCCACTCTTCCATATTTTGAAGCTTCCACTCTCTTCCATATTTTGAAGCTCCCACTCTTCCATATTTTGAAGCTCCCACTCTTCCATATTTTGAAGCTCCCACTCTTCCATATTTTGAAGCTCCACTCTTCCATATTTTGAAGCTTCCACTCTTCCATATTTTGAAGCTCCCACTCTTCCATATTTTGAAGCTCCCACTCTTCCATATTTTGAAGCTCCCACTCTTCCATATTTTGAAGCTCCCACTCTTCCATATTTTGAAGCTCCCACTCTTCCATATTTTGAAGCTCCCGCTCTTCTATATTTTGAAGCTCCCACTCTTTCATATTTTGAAGCTCCCACTGATACTAGTACACTGATGATATATCTTTGCATTGTGGAACTGAAAGCAGCTTGTTTGTTCCTTTCCTCCAGGTTCTGTGAACATAGACAATCTGCAGTCTTTGTCCTCAGACGCCTTGTCCATGCAACAAGCCATGATGGCCGCACACGACGACTCCTTGGACGGCACAGAAGAGGAGGATGACGAAGAAGAGATGGAAGAGGAAGACCTCGAGGAGGACAGCGAAGACCTTCAAACAACTAACGTCAGTGACCTGGGCTTAGAACAGAGCGACTCCCTGGAGTAGCGGACTGTCCGAGCGAAGCCCACACGCGCAATAGAACTGATACAAGTTTAGCCTTGGGGACATCATTTCTAAAACTTTCATTCTCTGACTTACTGGAGCCCACAGCCTGCACGGGAGGGCGAGTGGCCTGTCCTTCCTCCGCACAAATGGTAGAAACAAACTGCCGATCAAAGGACGAGAGCCCTCCTCTCCTGCCAGAACCGCGAGGACCCCCATGATGGAACTCCGCTTGTGTAAAATGCAACTTCCTGTGCCGCTCTTCAGACGGAAGACCACAAACACCCCATTACCTGCCACAGGCGCCCGTGTCACCCGTCCCTGGATGTTATTTAAGTGAAGGACACATGTTTACAGAGCCATACGTTGTGGCTGTTTTTGTTTTAATTTTTTTGTTTTTTTTTAAAGAACCTGTTTTTAGGTCAAGCTTTTTTCTGTATTATTATGACTGAATGCTATTGAAGTGTTAGGGTTTTGAGAGCACTCCGTAGGATGGATGTATGTATAGATATACTGTATATTACACACATGTATATCTATATGTACATTTCTATACTTCTCATCTATTATCTACAAGTTTTCACAGAAACATTTGTGTGTGAAACTCTGGAAATGCAACTCCGCCCCCCTCCCCCCCCCTCCCCCTCAATCTTTCAAATGATGTAATATTTACCAGACTCATCTATTTTGGCAAGTAAACTGTTTTATGAAATTTCCATATAAACAGAGTATGACGGTTATAAAACTA